AAGTTTTAAAGCAAGACTTTTCCATATTTTTGAAGACCGGTTTTATAACAGAAGGATTGATTTACTTGTAAAATTTTTATTACATTTATTGGTACATTTTAGATATACATGGTGATCATATTCATCATAGGGAGTTTGTACCTATATATGATATGTCTTCATTCCTCTTTTTTCCCCCAGTTCCCCTCCCTCCCTTCAACCATGTTTTTGCTCCTTATTTACAAAGCGTTGTTTCCATTTTGTGCTTTGTTTTTTTCTTCTCTTTCTTCCTTTACCCTTCCCCCCTCTGTTTCCTCTTTCCTTTTGAACAACTTCTTCCTATTGTACATTTTGATCCTTATTTATTCTTTCAGATTTTCACACCAGGGAGACAATGTGATATTTACACATGTGTGTCTGATTTATTTCACTTCAGAATATGGCCTCAAGGAGCATCCATTTACCTAGAAATGTCTCAAGCCTATCCTCTTTATGGCTGAGTAGTACTCTGTTGAATTAAAAACACCACATCTTTTTTGTCCATTCCTCGGTTGATGGGCGTTTGGGTTGTTTCCCAGATTTAGTTATTACAAATTGTGCTGCTGTAAAAATGGGTGCACATATAGTGCTGTGGTATGATGTTTTTAATTCTTCTAGTATTGAAACAGGAATGCTAAATCTGCTGCAAGAGAAAATAGGTAGAACTCTTGAAGACATAGGCGAAGGCAAAGATTTCATAAACAAAACCCCCATTGAGCAGAAAATAAGATAAAAAATCAACAGCTGGGATCTTGTCCTATTAAAAAGATTTTGCACAGCAAAAGAAATCACCAAAAGAGTGAAAAGACATGTGTCAGAGTCAGAAAAATTTTAGTCAGCTGTCCCTCAGACAAAGCACTAATATCTAGAACATAGAAAGAAATTAAAAAATAACCCCCCCAACTTTAAAGACGCAATCCAAAAATGGGCTTCTGAGATTAATACACACTTCTCATACGAAGAAGTAGAAACAGCAGATACGTACATGAAAAAAATGTTCAACAGCACTGGTCATTGAAGAGATGCAAATTAACACAATACTGAACTCCACCTCACTCTGAAAAGAATAACTATTGTGAAAAAAATCAACCAAGAACTCTTCTCCACCGTTGGTGGGAGAATAGACTGGTACAGCTACTGTGGAAATCAGTGTGGAGATTCCTCAAAAAATTAGGATTAGAAGTTCCATTTGACCCAACAGTAGGATTTAATATTTCATCTAACGTCAGGGCAAAACTAAGTCCAGTGTATGGAAGTTAAAAAACAGAATTTTACATAGTATAAACAATATCCTTCCAAGAGACAGAAGGATAGCAAAGTGACAATGGTTTATAGTCTTTTAAGAATTTTAAGTTATGCCTGGTACATGGAAAGCACTTAACCACTTAACAGTTTACCCAGTGCATCACTCAGGCAGGTGTCATTTCAACCAGTATTAAATAAATTTGATGAAATTGTCATTTTTGTACATTTCCTGTTATATTATAAAAATTAATGAAAACGTATACATTTTTTAGTCATACTATATTTAAATAATTGGATTGGTAAGTGGTTAATGCTTATTCACTGTTTCCTTAAAAGAAAATAAATAATTGGTAAAGATGCAAGTGTATATGTGTGTGTATTTTCTTTTGAGACAGAGCAGATGTACCAAGATGTTAACCATTAGTGATTTTACTTGAAAGATCTATACTCATTCAATGTACTCTTTCAGTTTTTCTGTTGGTTGGGAATCTCTCAGAATAAAAAATAAAGAGGAGAATTAAAAGAAAAAGAGGCCAGGGGTTTAGGCTGACAGATTTGTGAGAGCAGGCTTTCTCAAACCCTCAAAAATAATGAGACCATTGTTTAGTGTCTGAAATGAAAGGGGGAAACAACTGGATTTATTGCTGATCATAGAGGAGAAGTATACTAGTCAAGACCAGTTTCTGAGTGGGGAACACTGCTGATCTATGGAGCCTGGGACAGGATGGAGTTCAGGCACTGGAGGTGTTTTGGATGTGGCTGTTGTCTGTAGAACAGTCTCTACTCAGAGATGTGTCTAGTGGAATGAGTCCATTCCTGATTAATTTTAGCTTTTGTTTGTTTGTTTTTGTTTTTCTCCAGTACCGGGAATCGAACTCACGACCTTGCACTTGCCAGGCAGGCACTGTGCCACTGAGTTAAATCCCCAGCCCCCATTCCTGATTAATTTTAAGGAAGGAATTACCATGTCTTGGTCATTCCTTGAAAAATTTAAAAACTGGTGCTGATGGCTGCTTACTACCATGATAGTAGAAAAACAGTCATTTTTTCATTTTGTGGGAACTTGAAGAAATTCCCAGTTAGGGGCCGGGGATATAGCTCAGTGGCACAGCACCTGCCTGGCAAGCACAAGGTCCTGAGTTTGATTGCTGGTACTGAAAAAAAAAAGAAATTCCCACTTAGTGTTAAAGTCAGTGCTTTGACATGCTGTGAATCCATAATAATGTTTGCTGAATGCAGTTTTTAAAAGGTCCAAATATTTGCTCTTATCACCACCACCACTATGTCGTTGTTTAAAACTGAAGAACTTGGTTCTTAGGTTCTTAAGCTGACGCTTATTTTGAATCTTTTCAACAAAAACTTTAAGTCATTTGGGGTTCTTTTCCTTAAGTCACTGTTTCTGAAAATAGATTTTCAAAAAATCATTACATTAACAGCGAATACATTGAAAAGCAAGTTTCTTTCCCTGCAGAACTTCTCATAAGATCTAAAATGGTAACTTGCATTGCAAATCTAGAGAATAATATGAGGCATCTCTCAAACTCATATAACTACAGAGTGGCACCACAACCCACCCCACACTTTCTGACCCTGACACCGTGAGTGCTGCTACACAATTCTCATTTATGTTCGTTTTATATGGTTACTTTTCTAAAGACCAGACAGTTGAAAAGTCCTCTTGTCTCTGTGTGACTCTCTAGTAATTAGGCTGCTTAGCAATGCTGGTGCCTCAGATACACTTGTAAGTTTCTTGAATTTCTCTTACTCTCTGATTCATGTAATGTGGGTGAAAATCTACTTTCTACTTTTTTATTTTATATCTGTGCTGGGTATCAAACCCACGGCCTTGAGCATACTGCGCTGGTGCTGTACCACTGAAATATATGCGAAACCGTAAAACTTGTTTTAAAAGAAAAGTTTTCAATGAGTATAAGATGTCATTGTGTATTACTTTCTAGTGTTATGGAAAAGTAGGATTTTTAAGACAAAGTTTCAACAAAAGAGTAAAGTCCTTGATTTATTAAATGTTTTGAGGGCCTGAAGTACTAAAATAACTATTTTGAAGCTATTGCTTATCTCTCTGAAGACCTCAAAAAAAGTCATACAAAGTAATTGAAGCAGGCTCCTTTCTATGAATTTGTTAATCTTACCTTTGATAAATAATCATATAGGATTAGAATATCTAATTTGTTAGTTTTTATTTTCTTCATTTAGTATGATGAATACAGAAAGAATTCTGGATGAGTTAAAAGTCCAGCTCTTGCCCCTCAACTGGATTTGTGAATTTGAGGTGGTTCTTCAACCACTCTGGTCTTTATTTGCTGTCTGTTTAAAACAGAAGGAATGGACTGAACAATCTCTGGGGCTTTCTGTGACCAAATAGACAATGATTACTGTAGGTCTCATTGATGATCTTTCCTATTCCTCAAATAGAGATCATTTGTATTCACTTGCTTTATACTTCTACCCATTAGCTTGAAGATAGGGATAGTTGCTTTGTAGCAATGTAGGACACCTGAGAAAAGAAGTCATATATTATTACTGGGTAAATACTGATCAGTACTGATAAAGAGATTTAAAGTGTTTACTTTTTCTAACTGTTACCAGCTCTTTTTTTTTTAACTTTAAAGAAAGAATTAATGGATATGTGTTTTTTCAGATTAACCTTATTTCACATCATAAATGGTTTTATAATGTTTTATATCTTTAGATATTTTTACTAATGGACTGTGATAAAATTCTACAAATATTCTCAAAGTTTATTTAATTATGTATAAATTCACATAATGTGATAAGGGGAATGAAGAAATGAATGTTGAGGAATCAAGCAAATGGGAAAGCTGTCATAGATAAGAAATCTGTTGCTGTAGATATTTGATTTACTTATGATTTTGGCTTTCTCAAAGGCACTGTTAACTGAATTTGTTTCCTCCCTTGAGAAGCAGGTGGATAAAATTATAGAGTTGCAATGGTTAGATGTATAAAAATGGAAGAAGGATAATTAATGTATATTTATGACTTTGTGTGCCTTAAATGACTAATTATGAGCAAACTTTTGCACTCCCCAACTCCTGTGCCAGTGGGTAAATGAGTCTCACAAGCACTGGGTGAGAATAATACAAATAGCATGATGTCTGTGCTTTCATGTACTGTCTAGTGCCAGATGAGCTGACTAGGTACATGTTAGGGTTGTAGACTGCTATTCAGTATAAATTCCTAGATATTGTAGTAATGGCTACCCTGTAAAAGTGTAATTGAATACAGTAGTAAGTGCTTTGGAGAGAAAGTAAGTTTCTTTTGGGAACACAAAGTTACGTAGGGCCTTTGTCCCCCAAGCTGTATCTCACAGTGCCCATTCCTAAATAATGTCAATTACCTGGGGCAGGAAAACGTCCAAAAAAACCCCAAAGTCCCCCCCACCACTTTCCCTCAAATTAACTGGCTCCCAAGACCACAGCAGTTACTTAACTACACCATCCAAAATAATTTAACCACATTAGTATTTGTAGCCAGAGGCAAGTATTGAAAGCAACTCAGCATCCAAGAAGATGCACACATGGCAGTAAAGAAACACCTCTTTTTCTTTGCAATTTTTTTCCTAGATGTTTCAAGAGCAGTTCTGCTGTGGTCCTCATGTTCTTGGTGACTGGCCTAGCAGGCTCTTTGTCACAAATTATTACCACATTTCCTTTTTTTTTTTTCTTTTTTTTTTTTTTCCAAAACCCACCCTATACTAGATGTTCAACCCAGAGGGTCTCTCTCATTGAGCTAAACCCCAACCTTCTCGCTAAGTTGCGGAGGCAGTCCTCAAACCTGCGATCTGATGCTCCTGCTTTACCCCTGTGGGCAGCTGAGTTATAGGTATGTACCACCACCATACTCAGTTTTTCTGAAGCTTTTATAACTAATACTTGATAAGCTTGAAAAATTAAAAACAAATATTTTAGATTCAAATGTAGACCTGTTAAATATGCTGAAATAGAATTAGAAAAAGTCCTATGATAGTATCTCCTTTTTTTTTTTCTTTTTAACCACCCTTTTCCCTCCTGTGGATTGAATCTAGATAGCTTTCACACTGAGCTCAATTCTTAGCCTTTTTTATATTTTTTATTTTCAGACGGGGTCTCGCTAAGTTGCTAAATTGGTGTTGAATTTTCAAGCCTCCTGCCTCAGTCTGTCAGAGTGCTGGGATTAAAGGCATGCCGTACCATGCCTGGCTCGTTCGTTCGTTAATTTCTTAAGGGACAGCAGAGTGTTTTCACATACAGCACCAGGAATTGCAATCTTTTTTTCTGTCCTGATTATTTTCATTCATTTATTTCATTCTGTTACCTATTTTTAAAAATCTGTTAGTTTCATAATTGTTACCCAGTTTACTCTGTAAGATTTAATTAGTGGAAGTGATAGCTCAGTTTTGGAGACAGGTTTTCAGATTTAAGAGCTGTAGTTGCTTTCATAAAAACTCAAACATCTGAAAAGGCCTGTTTTCAAGTCGTTGAATCTAATCCTGTCCTTCTGGTGTTGAGAAACTCAGGTACTAAAAAAGGTGCTTGTCAGGTACTGCATCACATAGCATCCAAGGGATCTGGAACCAGGTCATCTTCACTTCCAGGATGCTGCTTTTCATCAGAACTGCCTTTCCCTCCTTGTAGCTAATGGCTGTGATGCGGTGTGGTGGGTCATAATGTTTTTGTTGGCTGTTTGCCATGTGAGCTGCATCACTTTTTCTGGGTTCATATGTCTGGATGCTTTTGTTCCTTGAGTTTGGAGCAGTGACTGCAAGGTGAAGGCAGCAAGGTACCTGCTCCTCATCCTCCAGTGTTCATGAGCTTTGTTTTCAGCTTCAGAGCCCAGAAGAGCTTGATTCCAGACAAAGGAATAAATCCCCTAGGTGCTGTTCATTCCTCTGCTTTGGGACCATAGGACTAGAAAAATAAAGGTTAATTGTTTGAAAGTAAATACGTATTTTATATATTTATTCATTTTCTTAAACTATTTATTTTGTTTTTATGAAAAGTATATCATGACCGTTTAGTACTAATTAAGACTGATCTATTTGGTAGAGAATAATTTAGAAAAACCCTTAAGTTCTAGCCAAATTAAGATGGTTGGTTGTACTTATAACAGTATGTTTTAAGGAGAACAGAAAGATTGTCTCATGTCATAAACAGAATATTTATTTAAAAATACTGCTTGTTTTATTTTACCTCCTTTGATATTTGTCTTTTGTGTTTGTTTTATGCTATGCTTTTGAACTAATATATATATTTATATAATTGGAAAGAACTGCAAATGCACACATAATCCATGTGCTAGCTTCTTTTTTTCCCTTGAAGTTTATGCCATCAAAAGAGCTTGTATTATAGTTGGGGATGTGAGGAGGATGGTTCTGTGGAGACATCATCAGCTACATAAGTCTCATAGTGTGCAGAGGTTTGCAAAAGATTTGACAACTGAAATAATGCGATAGAATTTATAGAGATGAGTATTGCCATATTTGGGGAGCTTCTTGACCTAGATTGCTGACCAAAGATATCAGAAGAAGTCAAGAGAGAATAAGATAGCAAATATCTGACTCTTAGGTTTTAAACTTTTAATATCCTTTTTTAAAAAAACATACAAGGAAATACAGGGGCTGGGGATTTAGCTCAGTGGCACTGCGCCTGCCTGGCAAGCACAAGGTTGTGAGTTCAATTCCTGGTACTGAAAAAAAAAAAGGAAATACAGAAAGGGGTTTTACTGCTTTTTCAGAACGCATATATACACATTCAGTGTATACAAAATCTTCTTTTTTGTGATTTGGAAATGTCTCTCTAGTCTTTTTTTTTTGTTTTATTTGCCTATTTTTTATTCATGCTTTTTATTTTAGGTTTGTTTAAAGAGTCTTCCCCAATTTTTGGCTGTATTGGGCATGTACATAATACACAACAGTATCAAAAGCGTTGCTCATAAATTCTGCAAGCTTTCTGAAACACTACCCTGTGATTTTCTAAAAGGGTACATACTTATATATCTGAACATAAATGTATAGAGTAAGGTGTGTAGCTTCACACAATTTTATTTAATGCTTTTGCATAAATTGAATTTGTAGTTTTATTGTAGGGTCAGTTATTTAACTCAGTAACATTGTACTCTCCCCCCAGTATTGGTGACTTGGATTTTGACACAGTACATGTACTTTAAAAATACTAATACAAAATAAGAATTAGTATAGTAACACTGTACTTATTTTTAGAAATTATAGCTTGTATAGGAGATGTTCATTAAGAGAACAATTCATAGCTGCTATTAAGCTGATTGAAATAATAAGTATCTTTTACTTTTTGCCTTCCTTAGTTTATTGTCCTTAATTATAGGGGTATATAAATGTTTCCCCTTCTTTTGCAGGTATTCTTTAGGTGATGCTAGGAGGCCTCTTCATGAAACAGCAGTTTTGGTAGAAGATGTGGTACACACTCAATTAACTAATCTGGTAAGAGCATATATCATCTTATTTGCTATCACTGCTCTGCATTCTGCTTTTATTGCAACCCAATACATGTTTAAGACAATTTTACTTATGTTTGTAATTCTTTGTGTCTTTGTGAGATACAATTTATGTATAACAGTATTTATTGTTTACATGAATTTTGACAATGGAATATTGTCACCTAACTAGCAGTACAGTCATGGTGTAGGCATTCTACACTATCAAAAACTATTCCCTATTCTATATACCATCAGGCCTCTTCTCCCACCCCTACCCCTTGACAGCCATTATCTACTTTCTGTCACTGTTACTGTCATTAAATGAGTTTTTTTTTTCATTTTGAAATTTGGACTTACAGGTACAATTTCACAAATGGTACACATAATTCCAGATAACCATCAATTTCCTCTCACGTATTATATAACCATAATACAATTATCGAAACCAGGGTATTCTACTGGCATAGTACTATTTACTGACCTTACTTGAATTGCATCTGTTTTCCCACTAATATCCCTTTGCTCTTCCAAGATCCAGTCCAGGATACCATGTTATATTTTGTTTTAAAGTCTTTGTTGTCTTCTCCTTTGCATGACATTTCTTCAGTGTTTCCTTTTCTTTCATAATCGTAACATTTTTGAAAAGTACTGGATGATTATTTTGTAGAGTGTTGTTTTATTTTTATTGGTGTGATGTTTCTTTATCACAAAAATGTGACATTACACATTTTTGGCAAGATTACCACAGAAGTGACAGATCCTTCTCAGTGCACCATACCCAAGGTTCATATTGATATGTCATATTTGTGCTGTTAACTTTAATTGAGTCAAAGTAGTATATGCTGAGTTTCTCCCCTGTAAAGTGACATCTTCTTATTTGTTCCAGTGCTGGGGATTGAACATAGGGCCTTACGCATGGTATAAGTTCTAACACTGAGCTACATCCCCCAGCCCAAGTTACTGTTCTTTAATTATATGGCTCATAAGTATACAAGTAGAGGTATTTTATAACTCTTCCCTGAACATTTTTGCCTATTAACTTTCTCAGTCATCAGTGGATTATATCTGACAGTTACTACTATGGTATATCCTTGTGGTAATTTTCTGTTTTCCTCTTTCTTTTTGTATTTATTAATTATAAATCTTTTAAAAGGAAAACTTGTCCTTTGTCTCCACTTATTAACTTTCTATGTGTAATAGTATGGATCTATGATATTTACATTTTCTAGTGTTATTATCCAATACCATCATTATTTTTATTCCTCAGTGTGTGTGAACATTGGCCATTAGTTTTTTCATGGCCCTTTGCCATTTCTCTATTGGATTTTAATCTGTCCTCGTATTTTAGGGATCTCTATCATTTGTCTTTGGAGTGTGGTACAGATACATCATTTCAGTGTATCAGTTGTAAAACTTACCTTTTAACTTTGTTTTTAGGGGTTTGTTTGGCCTGCAAATATTTTTAATGTAGTCAGAAGTTTGAATCATAGAACACTGTTGTATATACTGAATTTAGAGGACTTCACCTGTTTTGTCTTCTCTATTTATATAATTGCATTTTAACATTTATATCCCTAATCTAACACTTAGTTCCCTAATCTGTGTGTAATTTATTCCTATTACTTGTTTTGCAGGGATCTAATTTTACCTTTTTTCAATTGGTTACCCAATTTTACTATCACCATTTATTAAAAAGTCTATCTTTTCCCTAGTGATTTAAAATACTTCCTTTTATCATATACTAAATTTGTCTACCAGTGCGAATCTATCTATTTTGCATTCTGTACAAATGATTTGTCTATGTGCTGCTATGACATTATTTTTTATGTAGGTTTCATAGTATATTTTAGAGATTGTTATGGTAGACTCTTGTAGTTTTTCTTTTTTCCAGTATGTACCCAGTCATTCTTGTGCAGTCACCTTTCTGTATGTGTAGTTTCACCATCTGAATTTTTGCTTACTTACGATCAGTTGCAGTCTAAAAATCTTAGAATATTTTGGAAGTAAATGATGACTTGTTTTTTTCTTTTTTGGTTTTTTTTTCCGGTACCAGGAATCGAACTCATGACCTTGCGCTTGCCAGGCAGGTGCTGTGCCACTGAGCTAAATCCCCAGCCCCAATGATGACTTTTTAAAATACCTATTTATTAGTTCATATTGGTGTACAGATTAATAGGTTTCACTTTTGCAGCCTCATCCATACTCATAGCATACTTTGCTCATTTTCACTCTCCCTTCACCTTCCCTTCTCCACCTTTTCCCTAGTTTCATTTCTTTGAGGGGGCCCTCAATACATAAAATATATTTTAATCATGTCCATCCACCCTATTACCTGTTCTCCCCCTTCCTTTTTTTCCCTTCCTCTTTACTAATCATAGTCTTCCTTCTGCATTCTTATTACTATTTTAGATTCCATACATTAGGTAGAACATGAGATACTTGTTTCTCTCAGCTTCACTTATTTTGCTTAACATAAGCTCGCCATGTATCCATTTTCTCCATGTGACAGAATCTCATTCTTTATGACTGAATAATACTACATTGTGCATATATACCACATTTTCATATCCATTCAGAATAAATTACACATAGACAGGTATCTAGACTGGTTTTACATCTTGGCTACCATGAATTGTGCAGCAATAAACATGGGTGCGCAATTATTCCTATAGTATGCTGACTTTGATTACTTTGAGTATATACGGAGTGGTATAGCTGGATTAAATGATCACTTTTAATTTTAGTTTTTTGAGGAACCTCTATACTGATTTTCATTGTGCCTGTACTCATTTACATTTCCAGCAGCAGTGTGGAAAAGTTCATTATGCCCTATATCCTTGCCAGAATTTATTTTTTGTATTCTTGACGGTAGCCATTCTGACTGGGGTGTGATGGAATGTCAGTATAGTTTTGATTCCATTTCTTTAATGGCTAAAGTGTTTGAACACTTTTTGTATACTTACTGGCCATATACTTAAGTGTTCAATTCATTTGCCTATTTATTGATTGGGCTGCTTGATTTATTTTTGGTGTTAAGTATTTGAGTTCTTTATATATGCTAGGTATTAATCCTTTGTTGAAGAGTAGCTGACAGGGATTTTTTTCTACCTTTGTTGGGTGTCTTTACACTGTTAATTGTTTCCTTTGCTGTCTAGGAACTTTTTAAGTTTGATGTAGTCCCATATGTTGATTCTTCATATTTCCTGTGCTATTTGGAGTCCTCTCTAGGAAGTTTTTGTCTGTGCCTAAGGCTTCCAATGTTTGCCTATGTTTTCTTTCCCTAGGTCTTGAATTAATTTTGAATTCATTTTTTTATAGGGTGAGAGATAAAGATTTACCTTTAGACTTTTATAAGTGGATATCTAGTTTTTCAAAGCATTTATTAAAGAGCTTGGCTTTTCTCCAACATATATTTTGTAGTATAGTTGTTTGGGTTTGTTTCTGTGTTCTCTATTCTGTTCACATAGTCTACCTATCTATTTTTTTGAGCCATTCTATTTTTGTTACTATGGTTTTATAGTATAATTTGAGATTGAGTATTATGCCTCCAGTCTTGCTCTCAGCCTTTAGCTGCACAATCTAAAATGATACGTATAAATGGCCTTCAACTGTCTTTTGCACATCAAAGTTACATTTGAAAATCATTCTAAAAATGAAAGTGTAAATAAGGCCATCATGCAGCTTTCAGACTGCCATAATACTGTTTTGAATTATTTTCTGCTTTAGTAACTCATTAGATATTTAGAATTGCATTTTATATTCACTTATTACCTTTGTTGAGTAGCTTTAATGTAGCTTTTGTTCTAGCATATAAAGTTGAGTAAGTGTTCACAGTTCTGTTGTGGATATAGACACATACAAAATAATTTTCAAACATTATTGAACTGGTAATACTGATACGCAAAATAACATAGGGTTTTGAGAGGAGGTACACAGCCTTGCTTGGAATTCTTCATATATTTGTACATTCGCATTAATATAAAAACACATTACCATACATTTCAGCATATTCTTAATGAATTGGGCTGAAGGAAGTAAGCATAAGAATGATATTATAAATATTGAACTGTAAATGCTATGTGGAAATGTTTTATTTGTACTGTTTTTTTTAAAGATACGGATTTAGTTTTTTAACTTTTAAAAATTAGATCATTTTAACATATAAGCTTAGAATTTCGGGCTTCTCTGGAAACGTTAAAATTGGAATGTTTGACAACACAGACATGAATTGCATGTGAATACCTGAGCTCAGTAGCTGCTTCTACTTGTAGACTGGGCACAGGCTAATTTTTTTTTTTCTTTTTTTTTTTTTTTAAAGCTGAACCAGCTTCTTTCCTTGACTAGGAAAGTATCTAATGTTAATGGCTTATTTTTGACATATTTCCCATCTTAGTCTCAATTTCAGTTTTCAAGAAAAGATTCTTCCTAATTTTGGAAGAAAATATTTTAAAAGAAAATTTATTTCCCTTTGAAAAGCTGCAGGAACAATGTATGTTATAAAAACTCATGGACAAAGATAATAAAAAAGATATTTACCTGTGTGATTGATGTTTTAATTTTTCATCTGTATTTTTCTGTGTTAATGTATGAGTGACTGACTGCCAAAGGTAAATGTAAGAGTTACAGAAGCAGTAAGAAGCACCTAAAAGAGAGAAAAGTGTTTCTATCACCATACCTTCCATCTGGGACTGTGACCAAGGACTGCAACAACCAATTGATCTTTTTCCCTAGTGGAAGGACCTTCATGTCTTCATCTAAAGCTCAGAGGAAATGACCATCTCCTCTTGATGGCTCCTCTAACCTCTTTCATGTAAAAAGCAGGCACATATCAGTCAGCAATTTGAGCTATGGGGCAGTTCTCTCAGTTAAATGAATCTTTGTAATCATGATGAGGCCTGTACAAATCCCAGTTCTTCTTAAGTATAGATTCATTGTCAGTGGTCAAAGTGGATAAAGATGGTGTGCAGAGCATATTATAGTCTAGATTCCTAGTCTATATTATTC